ATAGTCAAGCCCTTCCTGGACCACGTACATAGGAAAGAAATATTCTGGGCCATCCTTCAGTCCCGCTTTCTCAGCGGGCGCTCGGCAGCCTCGCCGGGGAAGCGGGCAGGGTAAAGGAGCATCACCGGAGAGGCACGGTGACGATGAGACGGCCAGAAATGGCACGGTGATGATGAGATGGCCAGAAACCAAACTCGGTCCAGGGAGCGATCTGCAGCTCATAGCGCATTTGGCTTCGTGGAAACCAAAATCTAAATTTGTCTAACGGTTGGTTTAACAAAAAAAAAAAAAAAAGGATGATTTTTATTCCTATGCAATGAAAAAAAAAAAAAAAAAAGAATGCGATTTGTGTATTTTCAGCCCAGCTGACAGTACCCGCAGCATTGCACACACGCTGCTGACATGCTTCTGTTCGCTCTGCCCATGTCCAAGGAGGTTACCCGTATTCTAATGAACAACCTTCAGACCTACAACACTAAAGTGATGAAAACTGACAATGCAATTTACTTTGCCTTAATGAGCTTGAGACAATGGTAGGAACAATCTGTCATACTGTATTACGCTGAAGGAAACGTGCAGTTTTCGGTGACGATGTTTACTATTCACAGCTTTGAGGGTCTCTCCAGTGGCCTGGAACATGTGCTGAAAGCCAAACTTTAACTTTTTTTTTTTTTCTCCACTTTTTTTTAAACACTATTTTAAAACTGAATTGTATTTAAATAAACTGTATTTCAACACACATGCAAGTGTTAAAAACCCTCTCAAAATAGCAAAAATCAACAGAAAAAAAAAAAATCAAACCTTTCTGTACCAGTTGCATTTTGTTTGAATGCCCAGGGCCGGGCACACAGTCTCGTCTAATATTCATCACAGAGTCGAAACCGCAACAAAAGGACTGTAAAACTGAACTTCTGTCCAGCAAACTGTTTCATTCCTTTCTTCAGAGCTTTCTTTGGGATTGTTTCCTTTGTGTAAAGTTAAGGCTGATGTTTCCTAAAGTGGCTTATGTGTACTTTTAAGTAGCGTTTTTAAATGGTGAAGTCTGGTTTTAGAGTAAGTTCAAACTCAGAAGTCTTGAGTACCTTAAAGCAACGCGAGTGTAACAGAGAAATGATTGATGAGCCAGCAGCAATGGCAGAGCCTCCCCTAAATCAGAGCGAGTCGTGTCTTCAGATCTGCTAGCGAACTCTGTGCGCTTTGTACCAAGAACAACCAAAGCTGGTAAGTCCAAACACAGCACTTTAGTTCCATAAAATAATCCTTACTCTGTTTTTAAAAGGCACAAATCCATCTTTCCCCCCTGAAAAGTAAGGCAGCTTCTTTTAGAATAGTAGATCCAGCTTCACTGGCTGAAAAAAACAGTTCTTAAAAGCTATTTTTATACATTGAAAGATGGAGATTTCAAAGAATGCTATTTATTCCTATCTTTGTCCTGAAAGTATAAAAAGAATTAGTTCTCAAAATGGATTTCACTGTGGAATAGAAATGATTTTTAAGTGTAAGACGGAAGGGAATCCCAAGTCATGCCTCTGCAGGGGCACGGAGAAGTTAGCGATGAGTCGTCCCTCGGGGGAGTGAGCGACGCGCGGTGCAGTTTCAGCAGTGTTTTCCATTTGGGAGTGTTGGTGATGGAAACGCTCGAAATAGGATGGAATTTCCAGCAAACTCCTCCTCGCGCTGGCAGTCTGCGAATTAAGCATTAATAAATACGCCAGGCTCGACGCTAAACAGCAGGAGAGCCAAGAGGGAAGCCTCATTTTAGCAAGCGAGGTATCGATCAGAGTGTTCCACAGTACTTTTCCTTAAGATAACACGTCACACTCCACTTTTGGTGAAACTTTTTCATACCACGTTCGTTAAACCTTGGCAAATTAAGCGCCAGACTTCCGTAAATAGCGGCCTAACGCTAGACCTTTACCGTTACCCAAAATTCTGTTTCGTGCTCTTTCTCGCTGGCAAGCTTCAGGGTGAAGGTACTCAAAAATTAAAACGTAGTGGGTGGTATTCGGCAGAGCAACACTCCTCCCCAAAATAAAAATGACGTCATCCGAACCTCCCCGCCGTGTGGGTTAGCTGTCTGTCTGTCTATTGGAGGTCACGGACACTCGGAGCTGTGGATTCGGGGTAGTCTAGAACACCTCTAAAATGAGATGGATGTGGGCAAATCTGGACAGGAATCCACGTAGCGGAGCACATGCGAGAGTCGAGACGGCTTTTGCTGGTTGAGGTAACTCTGCCCACCGCCGTCTCTTGGAATAAACCCTTGGAACTACCCCTTTGCTCTCTTAAATTTGTCGTACGTGAGCAAGAGACGTGTTGGTACTGAAGCAGAAAGCAGATCCTGTGTGTTTTCAAGTGCAGATTAACAGCTTCTCTTGGACATAACTTTCCACTAGGAATGAAGGAAACTCCTGCTCCCATTTGAGCCATTTCTTTTACTTCGGTCAATTCTAGTATTACAAATTGTGCATGTAACTTTATAAATATTTTAAATAGTTTTGTAAATATTTAATATTCAGCTAATTTGATTTTGAATTGTAAATGTCAAGTATTCTGGTATTGGGATTTTTATGTTTTATTATACTTTGTTAAAAGTAAAATTGTACATTTTTAGAATGTTTTTATCTGAGTAAATTTAATGTATGGAAAATAAAGAGTTAAACAGAATCCTTTTGTATTTATTTTTTTTTATTTAAAGGGGCTTCATCTGCGTGGGGGCTTCTCCAGCTTGGCAGTAACCAGGGACTTTTTTTTTTTTTTTCTCCTCCGGTTAATTCCCTTTATTACTTTTGTTGTCTCTCCACCCACAGACATCTGCGCATGAATCACAGCTCTATTACAGCGCTCGCGATCGCTCTCCTCTCCTCCAACTCAGCTCCCGGCTCCGAAGGGATTTGCGCTTGCTGTTTGTTACCCCGCTCCGGCTGCCCACCCCAGCCCAGACCCCATTTCCCAGGGAAGGGGGAATTGTGGGAGGATGAGGATGAGCAGGGAAGCTGCATCCTGAAACTTTTTGTGGCCGGTGCCCAGGGTCCTTCCTGACCAGCAGGTTCGAGCACCAGGAGCCTGAAGCCTTGAGGGAGAGGTTGGTCGAGCAGGAAGAGGAACAAAATGGGGATGTGGAAACCCGTCCGTGTGCCCCAGTCCATACCCATCTACAAAGCAGAACTTTTACAGGGCGATTACACCTGAAATTCCTCCTCCTGGAGGGCGGTGGTTCCCTCTCAGAGTTCTTAATGACAATCAGTATCGGAGGTTTCAGTACGACTCACTGTCAGCAGGACCCAGTTCACCACCTCCTGCGTCCCAAAGCAGGTGGAACAGACCCCTCCGTGCCCTTCCCTACAGAGATTTGATTTAAGAAAGCTGTCTAGAAATAACCACGCAAGCCATAAATTAAGTTGGGATGTAATCCATCCATATCAGCACTGTATTAATTTTAAAAAAGCAACATTTGTACAGGAATATCAGTCAATCACGTAATTACAAGTAAGGTTGTCAGTTATGAGTTTAACAATTTCTTACACGAACAAAACTAAACATAGAACAAGCTGCATTTAAAAGTTTACCTTGGAGTAAAAACACAAAGAACAATAAAAAATTGGAAGTAAGCATTGTGAACGAGATGCATGCAAAGAGGTGTAGGTAGGTACAAATTGTACACCTTATTGAGCTAGAGTGCCAAGACGCAGTAGTATTGCTTCTTTTCCCCCCCCCGTTATAGTAAGTTAGCTTCCAGTAACAGATGTAGTTAGTTCACAGACACGTAATATACAAGAGTAATCTCATCCTGCTACACTTCACTTGACAACGACTCTAGAGGAAAAACACAGGTCCTACGAGATACCTTTCCTCTGCACAGGCTGCCTCCCTGCTCAGGACAGTAGTAACACCGAGATCTTCCAAACCCCATGCGAGCGGCAGGAGACTTCAGTGATGCAAAAAAAAAAAAAAGCGCATTTGTTCGTCAACTCTCAGCAACTCCTGGGCGTGAGCTGCTTCTAAAAGCGGTTCTCCCTGCCCCCCCCTCGGTGGTAACATGCAAAACAAGTGACAGACTGGTTAGGCAGTGTGGGTTGGTAATTCCAGTGGCACGTCCCAGTCCAATGTTCGGTACGGAGGTGTGTACACACCAACAAAGCCGTTGGCCCGCTCGCGTCGGAGGCCTCGAGGGCACCCGCCCTGCCGAGCAGATGGAGACGGGGAGGACAGGCGGCGCTCCCCGGAGCACCAGCGACACGGGCGCTGCTCATGTCTCCGATTGCACTAGCCCGCTCGGCGGCCGGCTGCGCGCAGCGGGACAGCCCCGGGCACTGGCAGTGGCAGCGGGTCCCTCCACTACCTTCTCCCAGCAGACTCTGTGCCGGGCAAGCGAACGGCAAACCTCCGGGCTAGGGGGGAAATCATCTTTTGGAAGCGAGCCCGTATGAACATCAGTGTTTCACTGGACACACAGGGATTGGAAATTCGTAACGGACTGGAGTTTATTTCAGTGTTACCTGTCCAGGTGTGTATTTTACAGTTAAACACTTCCTAAAACTACAATAAAGCTGCAGTGTTTGGTATGAGTATTTCAGAAACTGGCACCACTCCTAAGTTGGCGGTGCCACAAAAAACAAGAGACAAAAAAGAGTTGTACTCCCCCAGCTCACCCCAAGCACTTGCCTTAACTCACTGCAGCACTGACACAAGTCTCATTTTGCTGCAGAAGACAAAGCTCCGCTTTGGAACATTAAAACATTTGCTCTCATGAGAAGCCTTCCCATTAAAAAAAAAAAAAAAAAAAAAAAAAAAAAAAAAAAAGCTTTAAGGAATCATAGGGAGATTTTTCCAGAAAACTGTCACACGAAACACTTTAGCTCCTCTCTGGTGCCTGTTTGCTTGTTAAAGTCAATCGAGTGTCCCTTTATTTGCAATTGTCACGTGCACAATTGGGTTCCATTCATAAAGTCCAGAAATGTAAATGTGCCTGTGTGGAATATTACAGCAGGTTTCAAAGCTGGAGGTGCTCGTCTGTACTGTTTAATAGTCACAAACAAGGCAAGGTAAGATGAGACACCTGCTAAAGCAAGACTATGCTAAGGTACTGAGAGCGTAGGTGACATCCGTTTCTTTCCCTGGGGTGTGTGTGGGGAAGAGTGGGGGTGATGGCCAAGGGTAAACCAAAATCCTAGGCTAGAAGCCGCTTGCGTGTCTTAGACAGAAGATTGCACTCCGAAAGTCTCCTGAGAGGCGTACACCATGTACAGGAACCCATCCTCGTCCTTCTCGCTCTCGTACACCTCGGATATGGGTGTGGAAACGCTCACCATGCTGTGTCCGTTCACCAGGAGGAAGAAGGCCTGGTTGGAGTTCAGCTGCAGGCGTCGCCTGTTGGGGGGAGGTCGGGGGAGCAGAGAGGGGAAGGAGTTTGACAGTGATGACAATGCATTTCCACTCACATTAACAAAGGACAGATGGCAAAACAAAGTCCTCCACCACTGACAGCAGTTAAGATGTCCCCACCCAAAGCAGCCCTGCCACTGCAGAAGGCATTCGCTTCCCACCTCGAAGTTGTATTAAATTCATCTGCTAACTCCAGTCAAATACACCTACTGACGGAAGCCCCCATTTCACTGGAAAAGCTACGCTTCAGAAGGGCATTAAACTGAAGTGAAAAGAAAGAGGTACTCCTTGCCAGAACGATGCCGGGGCAGCGGCATCATCCCCGTACAAGCAGCAAACACGCGAGGCCTGCGGGACCTTTGGCTTGCAGCTTCGCTCAACAGCTTCTCGCTGGAAACGTAAACCCAGGCTGACCTTGAGAGACCCGTGTGAAGACGGGGAGGGAGGACAGGCAGAGCTTCCATGCAAAGGCCCTGGAGCTTTTAAACTCACTTTGTCACCAGCTCTGTAACAGCCTGCGTTTAACCTTTGGAGCATCTTGCCCCCTCTTCTCCTCCCTCCCAGGAGAAGCACCATGGGAAAGGCAGAGAGCGACAGACTTCATAGGCTGCACAGCAGAGTAAACATCTAACTTTGGCGTTTCCCTTTGATCATTCGCTCCAGTTGGGGGGAAATAGGTATTTCCGCTAAACTGCCTACTGGAAAGCAGGTTTGCACAGAGGAACTCTCTTACTGCTTCATAAGCCAAGTAAGCAAGAGGAACTCAGATACATGGAGGTGCAACCAAAGAAAGAAAGAGCAACAGATCAGAAGCTTCCTACCGCTTCTACTCACTGCTGAGGGGCAGCAGCAGCCGGAAAAAAGAATGTATTTAGCCTCTCAGCCACAGCCCTGGAAAGGGACCCTTCCAAAACCAAGCTCTAATCACTCCAGAGACAGCAGCTGAGAGAAGGCAGCGGCTCTCTGAGGGCTGGGATGGACAGACTTTGCTAAGCACAAGAAGAGCTGGCTGAGGACCAAGTCCAGCTGGTACCAAGTCACCTATTAACGATGAAGCCAAAGAAAAAGGTGAGGGAAATCCTTAGCTTGCTGTTAACCTTTTTGCCCAGGGCCTTTAAAGTTCATGAGAAATTCTGGAAGACTTGAGCAATCTGGTTCCTGCTTCCAAAACCCTATCTTGCTTTCTTACTCAAGGAAGAACTGGGATTTGCTTGCGACAGACAGTTTTTGTACAAGCCTCCGAGGCAGGGAATTGTTTGGACACGCGGGACAACTCTCAGTTTTTACAGCTTGTGGCCTCCAAGAAGCAGCTCTCTGCTACACTGTGACCAACAAAAAGCAAATTCTGGTTTGCTGCTAACTTCCAAGTTTACCGCTTGAGAACTCTTACTAATCAGATATTCCTTCTTGACATTAAGCCAGGAGAAATGCACTTCTAGCAGAATTTCTGACCACGATTTTAGACCACACAACTTCCAATCCATGGCTACTTCCCCTTTGCCTTTTCTTGTAAGCAAAGCTCAAGCACCAGAGCGGAGCAGTACTCAAGCCACAGTCTGTGCAAACAGCTGGAACAAAAAGACAGTGGTCTGAACGTGTGTTTTTTAAGCCTCAACACTGTCACTGAGTAAAACCTCGTTTCACGATCAAAGGATGCCAACATCAACCCTAAGCAACAGCTCAGAGCTCTGGCTACGAGCCCAAACTCCCCCTCCAGTGGGCGGGAAGAGGCAGGCACTCCGGAGAGGGACTCCCAGGCAGAACACCAAGAAGGCATCCTAAAATAGCCAAGCAGGAAGCGCCGGAGCCCTGGGCCAGAAGCACCCATGTTAGACAGGGATTCACAGCCCCAGACTCCCTCCTACATCTCTGGGAACCAGTTATTTCTCTTGAAAGCAGACTACCAGCTCAGCTCTTTTCAGAGTCTTTTTCCCAGCAGAGCCAAAGGAAAAAGCACCTTCTCGTGAATTTGTCCTAGTGATGATACCAAGCGCTCATTAGACGAATTTTCCATTTAAAGAGTTCCCAAACGCATACACCAGCTGGGGAATTAACAAAGAATCATAGTCTTAGGTTGATGCAGCTTACACAGCATACTACCTGATAATTTTGATTAGCTCGCTCATGTTGACATGATCTGGCACCAGGAACTTGGTCTTATCCAAAACTGGAAGCTGCTTCTCTCCCTTGTACCGTTCAATGATCACCTAAAAAGAAACGCACAGAAAGGAGCAGAAGATGTGAAATGCAGAAACGGTGCCTGCTGCCCTCATCTCCCCTTCCCATTTTACACACAGCGAAGTACAAGCATTTACGGTAAACTCCGTTTCCCTTCATTTGTGAATGAAGTATCTCGAATCTTCTGAAAAGGAACAATTATCTTCGCATGCCCCTCTTGTTCTGTTTGCAAGAGTCACTGTACGAAGGGGTAACAAACAGGGATTTAACAGCAAACATCCGCAGCTTCGGTGCTGTTTTAGAACAGTTCATTTGCTGGAATCATTTAATCTAGCAACGAACTACCCAGCAACAAGGAAACTCAAGAAAAAATAAAGCACGCTTCCCTCAAACACATTACAGTGGCTAAGCAGGGGCTTGGGCTGCTACCTAAGTCTGCAAACTGAACCAGTTTTCACTAGAATTTCTCCAGCTTTGGGCCATCTCTTTCTAAAAACTACACCTCCAGATTAGTATGCTATTCCATTCACCTTCCATGGTTACTCTAATGCGTAAGAGAAAGGTACTTTCGAAGGGTATAAAGCCTCAAAGGAGAGAATTTCCTCCTCCTTAATCTCAAGGCAGCATGCTTAGGAACCAGTAATTCTGTCAAGATTGTTATGTAGTAACTATTTAATTCACAAGGAAATTGCAGATTTGCCAATTTAAGTAGCACCCTGCCCAGCAACTGTATTTAGTTCCTGCTTTTAAGAAATGATCTCAGAATTCGTGTGCTCCAGTTTCCACAGCCATGTGTGTTTTGTTGTTTTTAAATCAACGGTAGCTACGTGACACCATTCACTTGGATCACTTCCATGCTCACGGGGTCTGGCTGTGTTGATATTCAAAAGTTGCACAGGTGAAGTGATATTGAGCCAATTTAATTATATCAGAGAAAGACTTCCTTACACCAGTTTAAATAAACGCTGGCTCATTCTGGAAAAAAAAACATTATTTTTAAAAAGGTAGACCATAACCAATAGATAATATTTCCAACAGCAAAATGAAGGATGTTGACAGGACAGGAGGAATTTACCATCTAGCGTGACATTGCCATCTTATCTCATCCAGAGCTGCTAATGATAATAACGAGGCAGTGACTCAAGCTGGACATGGACAGGCAACCACAGCGAGCCTCCAGGGATCCCAGCAGGCCTCTGCCATAGTTGTGAGTTTGCATCACTGCACCTTCAGCAATTTGCTTAGGTACCTCTGAATTTTTGCTGGTAATAATGTTCACGGCTGACTTAAAATGAGGGCTTTGCTATAAATCAATGGCTTTCAATCTGTGGTCACAGAGCTTGGGGACTACGGCTAAGTGGTCTGTGAAAGGTGGGCGAAAAAGCAATCTTCTGTCAGGAAACAGATTTGTTTGGAAAGGGCCGTTTGGGGAAAACGGCACGTTCCCGAAAAGTCAGAAAATCTCTGCTATAAAATATTACTTGTTCCCATGCCCAACAGCACAGTGAAAGAGCAGCAACAGCTTCGCAATGAAGTAGTTTAAAGCTAAAGGAAAAGTGAAAACCTTTTGGTTTCTGTTTGACACAGAGGCAACAACTGCTTCTGCTAATGAACCTGCGCTGGAAATAACAGACAGTTTGCAAGCAGTTTGTTCACAGAATAATTTCCACTCACAGGGATCGCCAGCTCTCACCACTGAGCACCAAAGGCTGAGGTGTCCCATTAAGGTCTCTCTTCTGCCCCCAAGATCTCCTGAGACCTTCCCTGTTCCACCAAATGCCCATAAGGATGGCTGCATTTATTGCTTACTGCAGTGACAGCCATCTCACAAAAGCCCACCAGTAACAGATCATCATCCATGCCTTTTGCTTTCCAGAGTGCTTTGAGGTGGCCCAACACTAGGTGGAGGGGGTTGAGGGCCAAACAGCCTTTCTGGAGACCTCAAGCAAAGGCCTGTTTCCCAGAAGGCAAACATTTCTGTCTTTCTCAGCACAGATTGGTGATGAAAGCCATAACCGTCTTTACATTACTGTGTATTTTTCTTGGATGGTCTCTGCAGACTCTTCTTTTGGAGAAGAAAAACATGTAGATGAGAAGAGCTGAACTCAGGAGAATCTCAGAGCTCAGCCGGGGTGTGGTTTTCTTTGAAGTTACAACATGCAACTTCAGTACACAGGAAACACCATTTCCTCCAGTCCCCAGCTAGCACCTTGCTCTGCCATGCTGACTGCCAGTTACTAGTTTGAGAAGGTTTCTGAAATCCAGGCTTAAAGACCCTGAACAGACAGACTGTAATTTGGTCTCATCAGGACAGCTCTTTTACAGGTTTCTATCAAAAAGAACATGAGACTGGAAATCGAAGTGAAAACAACCAGACTTACTGGTATTTTAGTTGGATGCTGATCTCGAATCAGTCGTACATCTTCCACTCTTTGCTCTGCAAAAGATTTAAAAAAAGTCTGTTCAAACATCCACAGTCAATGCTGTTACTACCTTATTTCTCCACCCCTGAAAAAGAGGGACTGCATGTTAGTAAAACTCACAAAAGCAAATTCAGGCAAAGCAGTTTTCAGATAGGACAGCACTGTCATAAGTAAAACCTCTCTTTTGACAGATGATACTTTGCTCTTTAACCCAAGGTGACAAGTACTGCATGCGCACTGCTTGGGACTCCTAGAAAGTGCTAAAGAAGATAGCTCCCACCCACCCCCCTAATTTTCTGCTCACTAAAGCAGAGATTTAATCTCATAAATTTACAGCATCAAATTACACCACCCCAGTTAATGCCTAAATATCCTGTACTATTTCTGCGAGACCCCGGAAGAGGAAGTTGTCAACAATTATTTGAGACCTAAGACTAGCCGAAGCCTGGCAGCATCAGCTTACGCCGTGCGTCCTACTGTTACCGAATTACAGTTTTCTATTTTGATTATGCCACACCCATTGTTGCAGATGCTGTTGGTAGGTTCTTGTGTACCTAGACATTTCACCGCTCTCTGTGCCAGTTTTCAGAATAAAGTTCACCTCTCCCTCAGACATAAATATTAATAGCACAGATATTATAAACCAGGCTGAAGTACACATCCGAGCCAAAGTAAACAGGCACAGTTGCTTTTAGAGGCAGTTGCATCTGCTTATACCCTGCCTACTTTCAGATTCAGTGAACTCAATTTTAACCTCTCCAACCCCTCCTCTTTTCAGCAGGCCAGGGCTTTCCAGGCCATCTCCATCTTATAAACACCTCTCAGAGAGAAGATTTAGTGTTGCATCACAGCTTTAACAGAGAGAGGTGCTGCTCACGGGAAAGGAAGAGCTTAGATCAGCACCCGTCAACCCAACTCCTTGCTGGTACGCTAATGCACAGGACACACTACCTGTCCCGTCACTCAGCAATAACATCACTCAGCTCTCCATTAGTCCATATTAAGTTTGCGTGCGTGAAATACATCTCTGCACCTTTTTATGAGCCCAGTAAGGAAATGCAACTCACGTGAATCACAGTTTTAAGCTGGAGGTGAATCAAGCAGAACTCAGGCAAGGAGTATGCAAAGCCTTCACCTGACTGCGAGACCTAGAACCTGAAAGCCATCCTGCTTCACATCTCACAGCCCAAGCCACGCTCTTACAGACCAACATTAACACTTCAAGGGCAGAGATACTAGCTAATTAAAATACTTTTTAAGATTAACCAGAAACACAAGAGATACGGGGAGCGAATGAGACCAGCCGTCAACCCAGCAAGCACAGAGGGGTTTGACTAACTTTTCAATAGAAATGGGTTTGTTCACGGCAATGTTATTCAGCAGAACTCCCTGGAGTAGAAAGAACGTAAACCGGACAAATCATTGAGATTATTGTACATGGCATGTTCAAAATCAGGCTTCAGTCAGCCACAGATAAACACTGTTCTCTGACGACACTAGTTGCAGTGGCAACTGCTTGGCTGCCATCCTAGCTGAACTTAATACCTGCAACAGAGGCTGCTGACAGGCAGCGGGGTCAACAACAGTTTTGGAAGACTCCAAGAAAAGGGGCAGCTTAAACACGGACTCTGTTAGATCAAAATTCTCTCCACTTCAATGCGGAGAACAGCTTATGTTTAACAGAACAGCAACGACAAGGGTGGGCACACCAGGAAGATCTCTTAAGCAGCCTGACTCTAACCCAAAGGCAGAAGGAAAAGAAAATCTGGATTAATTACTTCCACCAATTCCATTTTACGTGCGGGACTTTATAGTTCACGCAGAAATAGGTTACGCTGCCAGTTCTTGTTACCCTCAGAGCATTTCAGCGTACCTCACCAACACATATGAACAGATACTGAGCTCTCTGATTGCTTTGGTCCCATCCTAAGAACAGAAAGAAGTGTTGGCACCGCTCTATCAAGGCTGTTCCTTCTAGAAAGGGACTAATCTCATTTCCCCAGCCATCATTACACAGCTCTTTTCGATGCCTTTGCTAGTTTTCAATAACTAAACGGAGATGGGAGGCGTACATCTCAGTCCACTCGCAACTCCCCGGGTAGAGAATTCCTCACACTGCGCCAAGTACCAAACTGCGACTGGAGCTTAATTCTCCTGTCAGTAGCGCGGACGAAGCCGGACACTGAGCAGACCCGTCGGGAGGGACGGGCAGGCCCAGCTCCTGGCACACAACGCTCGGTGATGTTTCCAGGCTCCTGGGAATTCTGCAGCCCATAATGGATGATGTGGGGAGCCCATCTCCCCACCCCAAGC